GAACATACACTCTGCAAACACTAGGTGCTCAATGTTCGCTGAACTTGACAAATTCAATCACATTAAGGGATTAATATCTATCAGGGCCTAATGCCTACAAACTCCTTAAGTTATGGCTTAGTTTCTAAGTGATTCCATATTATTCATTCCAAAATGAAATTACTGATTTCAAAAATAGTTTTATTCATTCTTTAAAAAATCTATTTGATTAATATCAATTTTGCAATTTATCACTCAAAACTACAATATTTTCAGTGCCTACTCCAGACCAAGTTTTTTATACCAGACGCTGAGAATGAGGGTACAAATTAGACACATGAGGTCCTACTCTTTTTTTTTTTATTATTGATTTGTGAGAGAGAAAGGAAGGGAGAGAATGAAACATCAATTTGTTGTCCCATTTATTTATGCACTCATTGGTTGCTTCCTGTCCATACCCTGCCTGGGGATCAAACCCACAACGTTGGTATGTTGGCATGACACTCCAGCCAACTGAACCAGCCAGGGCTGCTCCCACTCTTGAAGACGTTACACTCTTTTTTTTTTTTAAAGATTTTATTTATTTATTTTTAGAGAGGGAAGGGAAGGAGAAAGAGAGAGAGAGAGAGAGGGAGAGAGAGAGAGAGAGAAACATCAATGTGCAGTTGCTGGGGGCCGTGGCCTGCAACCTAGGCATGTGCCCTGACTGGGAATCGAACCTGCGATGTCTGGTTTGCAGCCCATGCTCAATCCACTGAGCTATGCCAGGGCAGACGTTACACTCTTAAAGGAACACAGACACACAAAAAGGAAACAAATACATAAAATATTACAGTAAGATAAAGAAAAGAGGAAGAAAAGAGAGTGTGTATGATTAGATTGAAAGTGACTAGGACAGAATGGCACTTGCAAAGGCACTCTTTAAAGAGGCAACATTTGAGCTGAGGTCTGAAAGATAAAGATGAGTTAGCCATACAGAACGCTGGGAGCAGTGCATTTGAGGCACAGGAAAGAATTCTGTATGGAGGGCCTGAGGCAGTAACAAACTTGACATCAAAGTATGGGGAAAAAAGCCAGTGGGGTTGAAGATTCTTAGAACAGGAGTGGCATGAATGAGGGCAGGGAGATAAGATCAGATTTATCCTGGGCCTTGCTATGGTAGGTTTGGATTCTGTTCCAAGTACAATGGGAAGTCATTGGAGAATTTAAGTAGAAGAATGGTATGTTCTAGTTTATATTTAAAGGAGTTCACTCTACTCTGAGGGCAAACGCTAGACTCCAGTCCGCCAACAGTCCCCCCGTGGGTTGAATCCTGTCATGAAGTTTCTGGCCAAGATCGTGGAAGCAGCCTGTTTGAACCCCTTCACGCATGTCAGTTTCACAGTGGCCAAGCTTGCCAAGCCTGTACCCTGCCCATGGGCCCACATAAGCTCAATTTTGTCTGTGGCAGGTGGTGGGACCAGCATGTGCTGCGAGCTTCCCCAGGAGAACGTCAGAGAATTCCAGGTGGACAGTGTCTCCAAGGAAAACAATGAAATTTACGTAGACATCACAATCGCCAGAGAGCTGTTATCTGTGTTGAGCAGTAGTTGCATGGTAGCCCATGACAGCACCATAAAGGTTATTCCTAGGAAACTGCGGAAGAATTTACAAGAACCACAATCCCAGACCCTGATGTTAATAGATATTTGCCAGCCTTGAAGACTATAATGAGCATTGTGGAAAGAATGAAAAACATCAGCTATCATCTTATATTGAAGCAAACCTAATGGAGACTTGAAAATAGAATCTGAAGTAGTGTGTGTTACAACTGACTTTAGAGATCTCAGAAGTCCTCCATTAAGTAAGTACCTTGTTACATCCGAAGATATTCCTGTCATTTTAGCCTCCGAAACATTTTCAGGACAGAAACCCAGACCAGATGGTGGAAGTACATATAGATATTAGGAAGTTCCTGCAGTTTCTTGCTGGACAAGTAAACCCTACAAAGGCCGTCTGCAATGTCCTGAGTCACAAGATGGTTCACTTTGATCTGCTCCACGGGGATGTGTCCCTGCAGTATTTCATCCCTGCCCTGTCATAGCAGCGCTCCATTGCACTGGGGCCCAGGGACTTCTGCTGTGACCTGGAAAGGAACCTGGTGATGTGTTCAGTCATTTGTCTGTGTCCTCACAGTAGCACAAATTCTGTACATTTTCCTTATTTTTCTCTGTATAACATTTGAACAAGAAATTGAATTAATGAACCAGTTGGATAAACATGCTACTTAATATTAAATCACTCTGCAATAGGGAGCAGAGACTATAACAGTGCAAGAGTGGAAGCAAAGAGCAGTTAGGAAGCTGTGGCAGTAGTCTGAGTAGAAGTGACAGTGGCTTAGACAGGGGTAGTGGCACTGGAGAGGAGAAAAAATTGATGGAATTCAAAGTATAATTTGAAGGTGGAGCCAACCAACCAAGAGTGGATGAAGTAAGTAAGGAAGGTAGTGTGATCAAGGATGACTCGAGTTTTTATTTGAGCAACCGGACAGATGATGCCACCATTGATTGAGATGGGAAACTTAGTAAGCAACATAATGAGGCTAGGGGAAACAGGAAATTTCATTTTTTAAAGGTTTTATTTATTTATTTTTTAGAGAGAGGGGAAGAGAAGGAGAAAGAGAGGGAGAAATATCAATGTGTGGTTGCATCTCCCATCCCCACTACTGGGGACCCAGCCTGCAACTGAGGCATGTGCCCTGGCTGGGAATCGAACTGGCAATCCTTTGGTTCGCAGGCTGGTACTCAACCCATTGAGCCACATGAGCCAGGGCAGAAATTCCATTTTTGACACATTAATACTGGGATACATGTTAGACATTCACATGGTAATTTAAGTTAGCTGGATATGTAAGTCTAGACTTCAAAGGAGAGGTCAGAGTTAGAGGTCCAAATTTGGGAGTCAACATAGAGATGGTACCTAAAGCTATGAAACTAGATGATGAAAAGAGAAAGTTGATAAGAAAGAGGACCTAGAACAGCACTGTCCAACAGAACTACATGCGAGCCACATATGTAATTTTGAATTTTCTATAGCCATGTCAAAAAGGCAAAAAGAAACAGATATAATGAATTTTAATAACCCAATGTATCCAAAATATTTCAATATGTAATCATATAAAATTATTAGAGATATTTTATATTCTTTTAATACTAAGTCTTTGGAATTCAGAAAGTATTTTATGCTTACAGCATATCTCATTTCAGACTGGCCACATTTCAAGTACTCCATAGCCACACATGCTTGATGTACGTCTAGAATCTAACCCTGAGGCAACCCAACATTTAGAAGTTGGACAGAGGAAGAAGAGTCAGGAAAGGAGACTGAGAGAATGGTAGCATGGAAGTCAAGAAAAGAAAGCATTTTAAAAAGAGACTGGTCAACTGTGTCCAAAGTTTGTAAGAGACCGAATAAGATAGCAAAGAGTGATAGAATTTGGCAACGTGTAGATCACCGATGATCTCGACTAAAGCTGTTTCAGCAGAGTGATGGCTTCCTGAACGGAAGCCAGAATGGAGTCAGGGTAAGGTAAGGAAGTGGTGACATCCATATACACAACTTTCCCGAAGCGTTTTGCTGTGCTGACAAGCAGAGAAATGAAGTACTAGTTGGAGGTGGATGTGGAGTCAAGGGAGGGTTTTTACCAAAACCGGAGATGCTAGTGCATGCTTGGATGCTACTGGGAATGTTCAGTGAGGAGGAAGCAAGTATTGTGGGAGAAGGGGGATAAATGGAGAGGAAGCCCTTCAAAAGCCAGGAGAGGGCAGGCACAAGAGCATCCAGAGAGGGGCTGCTCTTTGGCAGGAAAAATGATTCTTCTATTACAACAAGAAGGAAGACAAAGAATGGGTACAATAACAGAGTAGAGATACAGATTAATTTGTAGGGTAACAGGAATCTTCATTTTAACACAGGGCTGAAGCCATAAGAAAAAAATACATACATAAAAATAAAAGAAGGCATTGTTAGCTCTAAAAAAGAAATAATAATGTCCATAAAAATAACAAATGGTAAAATTTTTATTAATGTCTAATATAATACTTTATATTAATTAATGTAAATAATTAGTGTAATTAGTGTAAATAATTATCCAGTAACTATGTGGATTTTAATAAAATAGAAATATCTGCATACAGTACAAAAACAAGATACATATTACAAATATAAACCAGAAAAGGAAATAGATTTCCAGGAAGTTCAGGAAGCTCAGAGAGTCCCAAAGAAGTTGGACCCAAGGCACATCAGAATTACATTACCCAAGATTAAAATTAAGGAGGGAATCTTAGAAGCAGCAAGAGAAGGAGACAATTACCTACAAAGGAGTTCCCATCAGACTGTCAGCTGATTTCTCAAAAGAGATCTTGCAGGCAAGAAGGGGCTGGAAAGAAGTATTCCAAGGCATAAAAGGCAAGGACCTACATCCAAGATTGCTCTATACAGCAAAGCTTTAATTTAGAATGGAAGGGTAGATAAAGTGCTTCTCAGATAAGGTCAAGTTAAAGGAGTTCATCATCACCAAACCCTTATTATATGAAATGTTAAAGGGATTTATCTAAGAAAGAGAAGATAAAAAATATAAACAGTAAAATGACAGCAAACTCACAATTATTAACAAACATACCTAAAACAAAAACAAAAGCAAACTAAGCAAACAACTAGAACAGGAACAGAAACACAGAAATAGAGATCACAGGGAGGGTTATCAACAGGGGAGTGGGAGGGGGAGAGAGGGGGAAAAGGTACGGAGAATAAGTAGCATAGACGGTAGGTAGGAAATACACAGGGGAAGGGTAAGAATACTACAGGAAATGTAGAAGCCAAGGAACTTATATGTATGACTCATGGACATGAACTAAAGGAGGGGAATGTGGGTGGGAGGGGGTATGCAGAGTAGAGGGGAGTGAAGGGGGGGAAATGGGACAACTGTAATAGCATAATCAATAAAATATATTTTTAAAAAAGAATAAAAAAAGAGAAATACAAGCCAGAAAGAAAAAGAAAGGTAATATGCTATGGAAGGGGGAAGGTGGGAACTGTATTCTTTTTCTTTTCTTTCTTTAAAAATACCAATTTGATTAACGTAAGGGAAGTCTATATTTTTTTCCAAGTCTGGAATGTTGTTGTTCACCCTCCAAGGTACCTCTTTCTTTGAATCAAGTTACCAAGGAAACCAATTCAGTAATCACAAGATTGCTTGATGGTCAGAGTCTTAGGGCCAAGGGAATGAATGAACTTGAGGTCATTTCATTCAAGCTGTAAAAAAGAAAAAGCCTGATGACCTATCTCCGATACATATAATGGGGACACATGTCTGTCACATTCAGTCTCTTTCCCCTAAATAGTGTTGGAAACAGAGTGATAAAATCTCCCGATCCAATTTATGGGACAATCTACCTGACGCCTATTTAATTTTATACCTATTTGGAAGTCTAGGCCTCTTCCATGCCTTTAATTTAAAATACTACTAGAGGGGAAATATACCAAGGCAGCATCCTACTCGAAACAATTTACTGAAAATAATGTATTAAAGAGACTATTCATAAAGATGTGAGCAAAGTTCAAGGAAACGACAGTATGTAGTGGAATCCAGGGACTAACAAGAAGAGTTTGTCAAACCTTCCAGTCCCTAGAGATGGTGGGAGTGGGCAGGGCAAAGAAAGCGTTACAGATCCCAGGGAGTGCCAGACCACCTGGGCTGTCAGGCAGCTACTGCAAGAACATGGCAGCTAAGTAGGGATGAAGGAGGAAGAAGAAATGCACCAATCTCTCTTTCTTCCTTTCTTCCTTCTACCCCTTTGCCAAGCTTCCACTAAACCAATTGGAAGTCAAAGGGTGAGGGAACCAGGGTCACCCTCATAGAGGGAAGAGGGTGTTGTAACCCACAGAGGTCAGTGCTCCAGGGTTCAGAGCAGAAAGGGTGGAGAGTGAATCTGGGGGGTGGGAATGGGTGAGAGCAGGCAAGCAGAGTATAATTAACACGGGAAGATAAGATACCTCTACAAGAAACAATTATGGGTGGTAATGGGAGGGAAGTAGGGAGGGTTGGGTGGGTGGGCTGGAATGGGAGTAAAAGGGAGAAAACTGTACTTGAATAATGATTAAAATAAAATTTAAAAAAAGAAAGAAATAGTAAAAGCCATCTAATCTAAAAAAAAAGAAAAAGAAAAAAGAAACAATTAGAGAAACGACTAACTCGGAACATCAATTATGGGCTATCTATGGAGCTCTAAACAGGTGATAGAGATGAGGGGAGGGAAGAGGGAAAGAGAAATAAAACTAGCTAATTCACGCAAAGACTATAGTAACTCTTAGCTTTCATTAGTCTTTACTACACCAGAAACTTGGAAGAGGAGGCTGATTATTTTGTGTTTTGTTTACTAAAGAAAGGTTTCATTTCCCTCTTATGTACAAGGCAAAAAATAAATAAATAAAATAAATCCTAGAGGTAAAAATATATATTTGTTTAACTTTCTGAGAAAAGAAATCCTGTGCTGATTTTTACATCCTACTGTTCTTGGGCCTACTATTCCCATGTCCCTCTACCTGCACCATTTGAAAGAGGCCTAGATGCCAAGACACGCTGGCTGACTGAAGCTTACGTTGAAACGGAAGCCTGAGGCAGATGTTTGAGTTCACTAGGTTTCTACTACCATATGGACACAGTCAAACGCAAAAAGCAAGACAGCATTGTGGTTAAGAAGGTAGGCTCTAAAGTTGAGTTACATGGATTTAAATGCTTGCTCTACTAGGTCCTCGCTGTACAACCTTGGGTTAGTTACTTCTCTTGTCCTCCACATCACAGATAACATGGTGATAATAAAAGTACTTATTCCATCTGTCATCTTGTGAGGAGTACTTAAGATACTGCCTGGCACAGAGTAAATGCTTAAGAAGAGTCTTGTTAATAAAGCCAATGTTCTGATTCCAAAGTATTCTACAGCCAACTTGATTTTTCTTTAATAACCTTATCTTGGTCTCCTCTCTATATCTTCAAATAGTCTCTCTCTCTCTCTCTCTCTCTCTCACACACACACACACACACACACACACACACTCAAAGAGAGAGAGAATAGTGAAATCCTCATTTATACCAAAAGTTTAGGGATACTTTTAAATTCATTCATCTACTCATATATTAATTGAGTACCTATTGTGTTTCAGATACCAGACTAGGTCCTGGGTGTAATATAAAAGTGAGGGGAAAAAAACCCAATTTCAGCCCTTGTCCCTAAGGAGCTTGTGATCCAATGAGGGATACAAACATTAACCAAATTACTACAGATAAAAACTGTATGATAGGGCAATGCCTATTAGTGAATTAGGATATTGAAATTCAGTCTTTTTCAAATTCTAGAGAAAAGGAGGTGAGCAGAATTCTGTGAGCTACCGGTGAGACATCAGGCTGTGCTGTCCAGTATGGTAGCCATCCTGGATGTATGTGGCTAGTTAAATTGTAATTTTAAGCAATTACAACTAAATAAAATTTAAAATTCTGTTCCTCATTTGCACTAGCCACATCTCAAGTGCTCAGTTATATGTGACTACAGGCTACTGTAGTAAACAGTGAAAATAAGGATGATTTCTATCATTGTAGGGAGTCTTTGGGAGACTCAAATGTGAAAGGAATTCCCATGGTCTGGAGAACAGAGGTTGTGAGTAAAAGGAAGAAAAGTGCTGTAAAATACAGAAGCCATGGCGAACACAAAGTTTCCCTAATAGAAACTATAATTTCTAGTAGACATAAGGCTACAAGTATAGTGCAATATTTACAATATCACCTGGACTGGTTCCCCAACTAATAACCACTTCCTCACCAAAGTGACATTTTCCAGTGGTGCTTTATATTTAGTTTCAGGTAAGTTTTAGCTTGCAATTTTGGGATGTAAGTCTAGGAGAAAACAGAAATCCATTAAAATGAATTATAATGCTTATAATTCAACTTTTTTGAAACAGAAAACTATAGATGTATCAGTATGGGCCATGTAGCTTTAAACCAGAAGCTACATTTTTTTTACCTATCAGTATTTTATTTGTATATGTATCCTTCATATTTTACTGACTACAGTTTCTTACTCATGAACATACCACTTTTTCAGGTTTCCTTTCCTCCATTCTCTCGGGAACACAAAGCTTTGAGTATAATTTCACGTCGATTGTGTTTATATCCATGGAGTCAGAAGCAAGAGCTCTTCATTGCCCCTGTGTGCAATCATTCTTTCCATGCTCCCTTTTTTTGGATTTGACAGTGTGTCAGAAAAGTGCCATAATTGGTATGGGAAGGAAAAGGAACTTTAAAATGTTGCACTCAGGATAAATCTGTAACATGCACAGGAAAATAAGAGGATTCGTTGACAGGTGGCAGTTTTCTACCTGGAAAAAGAAATTCAAGTCACCAAAGGAGAAATAAAGCTTTGCTTATTTTCTAGGTCTAAGAAAAATCACAGCTCTTGCTATTGTTTTATCATTAAGGATTCTTATCATCTAGTTTTAATTAGCAAGACAAAATATGGGTATGGTTTCCCAGCTAGACTGTATGGGTAAATTGTAAAATGTGGTCCCCAAAGCTGAAAGTACCCTAATATGGATTCCCCTTCAAACATCTCACTGTCCAACATGTAAGAAGTTTCTCTCCCTTGAGACCACCATGCTGTAAGGAAGCCCAAGCAACTGTGCGGAAAGGCCCACAACGAGGAAAGGCAAGGCCCCTGGTTGACAGCCCAGCTGTGCTTCCTGCCAGTAGCCAGCACCATCTGCCAGCATTTGGAGTGAGGCCATGGTGGATATTACACCTTTCTTAGCACTTCAGCCAGCACTATGTGAAGCAGAAGAATCAGGAGATCCAAAGAATGGTGAGAAATAAGAAATTGTTGTTTCAAGCCACTAAGTTTGGAAGTAGTTTGTTAAGCTGCAATACAACTGAAAGAGTATCTTATGCAAGACCATCTAGAGACTACACAGCTTACTTCCTTTATGCACATTATACACAAAGTTAGACATGGATTTTGTTTTGATGAACTCAACTATGCTGCAGTAAAAGAAAGAAAAGATCTGACAGTCATTCCCCATCCTTACCCACCACCTCCATATACACCCACCATCCCATACCTGTACTCACACTCTGCCTTCCCTCTGTTACACTGGAAGAACTGTTCCTGTTCCTATGGGAAGTCAACACTTCTGATTGTGTTCCAGATCCCATTCTTCTTTACCTTTTCAAGGACTTGCTTAATTACCTTTTCCTTCTGTTACATCATCAGTTTCCCCTGTCTATGGACTCACACCTATCAGGATATAAACATGACTTGATATCACCCATTCAAAAAATTTCTTCATGCACTGACCACTGTGACTCAGTTGGCTGGGCATCATTTTGCAAAGCCAAGGGTCACCATTTCAATGCCTGGTCAGGGCACGTGCCTGAGTTGTGGGTTTTGTCCCGGTTGGGGCACATGCGAGAGGCAACCCATTGGTGTCCTCTCTCACATCACTGTTTCTCTCCCTCTCTGTCTCCCTCCCACCCCCTCTATCTAAAAATAAATAAATAAATCTAAAAATAAAAAAAACATCCTCAACCCCAAACCCCCTTCACCCTTTGTCCTACTTTCTTATTCCCATCCATAGCAAAACTTCCTCAGTCAGCTGTCTGTGGTCCACTTTCACATCTGCTGTTCTCTCAGCCCACTCCCACAGGGTTTCCATACAGATCATTTTATTTAAATTACTCTAGTCAAGGTCACTAATGACTTCCATGTTGCCAAATTGAACAACCATCCCTGTCCTCATCCTCCTACTCAGTACATCTCTCAGCAGTATCCAAAACAATTCATCGCTCTTTTTCTTGAAAGATTTTTTTTTCTTTTGGTTTCTGCTGTACCTCACACTGCTGATACTTATCCTTCTCACTGGTCATTCATTTATTTTATTTTTAAAAACTTTATTTCTTCTGGCTGGCATAGTTCAGTGGATTGAATGCAGGCTGCGAACCAAAGTGTCGCAGGTTCGAGTCCCAGCCAGGGTACATGCTTGGGTTGCAGGCCATAACCCCCAGCAACCGCACATTGATGTTTCTCTCTCTCTGTCTCCCTCCCTTCCCTCTCTAAAAGTGAATAAATAAAAAATCTTAAAAAAAAGAATTAAAAAAAGAAAAGGTATTTAAAAAATTATTTCTTGATATTTAGAAAGAGAGAGGAAGGGTGGGGACAGTGAGAGAGAGGCATAGATTTGTTGTTCCACTTATTTACACACTCACTGGTTGCTTCTTGTATGCGCTCTAACAGGACATCAACCCGCAGCCTTGGTGTATTGGGACAATGCTCTGACCAATTGAGCTACTTGGCCAGGACTTGCTGTCATTCTTTTAGAGTTTCCTCTTCTGGCTCAACCTCCTCTGACCAGCCTCAAATTGTTGGTATCCCCCAGCATCACCCCTTCTTTTCTCCATCTAGTCTCACTCCCTAAGTAATCTCATGGCTTTAAATATATTTAAGAGCTAATGACTCCCACATATCTATACCTATCTCCTCTCTGAACTCCAGAATCACATATCCTATTGCCTACCTGATGTCTCCACTAGGAAGTCTACAGGCATCTCAAATTTAACATTCTCAAAATACAGCCTTGATTTCCAATCCCATCTCCAAATTATTTGTCACCATTCTGGTAAATTGCACTGCTCTCTAATTAGTTGCTTAAACCAAAATCTTATAAGACATTGAATCTCCTCTTTCCCGTACCACCCACATCTCATCCAAGTCTTATCAACCCTACTGCAAAATATATTACAAATCCTTCCACTTTTTCCTCTCTCCATTGTACCATCACTTAGATAAGTCACCATCACCTCTGCCATGGACTACTGTAACCAGCTCTTAAGCACTCGCATTTTCTACCTTTTTAAAATGTAGATCACATGTCATCCTCCTGCTCAAAATTCTCCAAGATTTTCTATTACATTTAGAATAAAATAAAAATTTCTTACCCTGACCTATAAGATCTTATATTACCTGGTTTCTGCCAACTTTCCCAACCCTATCTCCTGTCACTTTCTTATAGTTTAGTTCGGTTCCAATTTGCACACACCTGCTTGCTGTTCTTTAAACACATCAAACTTGCATTGGCCTCAGGGCCTTTGCATTTGCTATACTCCATGGCTGAAACACTTTCCCTCAGGCCTTTGTATGACTAGGTCCTTCTTGTCATTTAAGTATCAGTTTGGATGTTACTTCCTCAGAGAAAATCTTAAATAATTACTTACCTGAGGAAAGATCCCAATCAATCTCTACCACATTATTTTTATTATAGCAATTCTCACTCAGTGATAATAGTTTCCTTATTTATTTGTTTTCTTGTTTATTATGTTTCTCCTCACTAGAATGCAAGTTTTATGTGAAAAGAGACCTTGTTGGCTTTAATATTGTCTTTCCCAGAGGCTAGAAGAGTAGCTGGCACATAGTAGGCACTCAACAATATGTACTGCATAAATTAATGCTAAATAAGAATAGTAATTATAATAATATCATTCCTTAACCTTAGTTCTGTTCAAGAACTTTATATGGAAAAAAGAAAAGAAGAAAAACTAAATTACCTATAGTCCAACCAATTATTATTAACATTTCAGAGAATTACCCTCTAAATGTTTTCCTTTTTTAAAAAATATTAGAGCCTTTTGGAAAAAGATAAAATTAGGCTCATTCTTCACATCATACATAAGAATAAACTCTAAATGAATCAGAGACTTAAATATAAAAAATCCCATAAGTTCTAGAAGAAAACACAGGTTAATTCCTTTTTAACCTCTGTGTGGAAGAAGGCTTTGTAACTGTAATATAAAATACAGAGGCAAGACAAATAAAGTATTAATAAATCTGAATAAAAATAAGTGTTTTGAATGGCAAAACATAAGCAAAGTCAAAAGCCAAAGGACAAAGTGGGATGTAATATTCACAACATGCATCAGAAAGGGTTAATATTTCAAATGTATTTCTTTAACAACTCCTTAAAGTAGAAAAAAAAAGACCAAAAATCCTATGGAAAAACAGGCAAAAGGCATGAACAGACTATTCACAAAGAGATACATAGAGCTTTTAAACATATTAAATGATAGTCAATGTCATTCATAATAAGAGAAATGTAAATTATTAAAGCATACTGAGACATTGTTTCTCACTCATTAGTTTGGCAAAAAACCCAAAAGCTTGACAGTACACTCAGTTGGTAAGGATATAGGAAAATAGGCACTCTTGTACATCGCTGGAGGGAATATGACAAAACAACATACAACTTTACCCTTTTGTACAGAATCCCACTTGTAGACATTTATCCTAAAGTTATACCTTCAATAATATAAAAATACGCATGAGCAAGATTATGCATTGCAGCATTATTTGTAATTTCAAAATATTGGAAACTACCTAAGTATCTAAGTGAAGGAAGGTGTTTGAATAAACTGTGGTATATCCATACAGGGGAGTACTATGCAGCTATCGAGGAAAAATTAGAAAGATCTTTATGAACTGATATGAAATAATTTCTAGGATACACGAAATGAAAAAGCAAAGTGCAAAAGTATGTATATTATGCTACCTTCTGTGTAAGAAAAAAAGGAAAATAAGAAAATGTGCATTGTCACTGCAAAAAGAAATATAGGAAGGATAAACCAGAAAACAATGAAATGTGTTGTAGAAACATATTATGAACTTGGTTTCTAATACCATTCCCCACTAAAAAGAACCTGGGTTCCATCGAGAAATGGCTGATTCCAGGACTGGGGCAGGCAAGTACAACTGGAGCCTGGAACATCTTGTTATGCCAGAAAATACATGCTAAAATATGATGGGAACATTTTGCAAGGACATGAAGGCCAACTTGAAGAGGCTTCCCATTGTCCAAATCTGGGACAACTGGAACACCAAACTGGGTAAAAACATGAATTATAAATGATTGGAAAATAGAAAATTTAAGTTCATATAAGTAACAGATAACTGAGAGAGAAAAAGAGGGGAGGAAGGGAAGGGAAAGGGGTAGAGGGAAAGACAGACAGACAGACAGACAGACAGACATGGGGAAGAAGGGAGGTCTCTTGCTTAGAGCAGAATGCTGCGGGCCCAGAGCCAACTTTGCCATTAGACACAGCGTCTAAAGCCCATGATACTTTTAAAGGCCCATACACATGTTTTAATTTTTATTTCTTTTAAAAGAAATCAGAAGAAAAATAACATAATAACAATAAATCCAGCTTAGATCATATTCATCTGTATACCAACACTGTTATAAAATATAATTAAAAAAATTTTTATGGAGAAAGGGAACCACAAAAGCAAGAGCCAGGGCTCATGAAAGTCACCATGGGACCCAGGAGGGATGACCAGTGT